AAGCCCTAAGCCTCACTGTGCAATGTAGATCACAGGGAAGAAGCGCTCCAGCTGGGAGAGAGTAGGAGGAACAGAGCCAGAGGGCGCAGCAAGGCTTGGGGCTTTTTCTCTTCTTCCCTCCCTCCCCAGTGGGAAGCTGGAGCTGGCCCTCCAACCATGGGGGGAGGAGGGGAACGGGAGGTTGTGGCACCAGCGCAGGCTCCTCACTAGCCTCACTGTGCAATGTAGATCACAGGGAAGAAGCGCTCCAGCTGGGAGAGAGTAGGAGGAACAGAGCCAGAGGGCGCAGCAAGGCTTGGGGCTTTTTCTCTTCTTCCCTCCCTCCCCAGTGGGAAGCTGGAGCTGGCCCTCCAACCATGGGGGGAGGAGGGGAACGGGAGGTTGTGGCACCAGCGCAGGCTCCTCACTGCGGGGGGGGAAAGGGGAGCTGAGCTCAAGCTGCAGACCATCAGGAATGTGGCCTCAGAATCCCATCACGCTGACTTGGGGGATCATGGGGGTATGTTTGCCCTCTGCGCACCCCACCCCCCACATATGGGCCTGGTTTACCTTGAGCAGCTCCCAGTCAGCAGTGCAGCAGGGATGCTAAGGCAGGCTTCCTGTCTCTCCTGGTATCACAGACCATGCTGCCCCCCAGAAGCAGCCAGCTGCAGGTTCCCAGCCAATGGGAGTATGGAGCTAGTGCTCAGGGCAGGGGCAGTGCATAGAGTCCTGTGTGCTCTTCCTCCCTCCAGAAGAGCAGGTGGCTGGAGACAAGCAGTAGTTTCAATTTGATGTAGGGTTTTGGTGATTTCTCCCTTCCCTTTTTCCAATCCCCAAACTTTTAATGAAATGAAACACAACACATGCTCCATGATTCTCTTTGTTTGACCTCCTCCAATCACAACCAAGAAATACAATATCCAGTCTGCCTACTCAGACATCTTTGTTGTGATTCTTGAGGAATTCTTAGTCTTATAGAACTTCAAGAGATAAAAGTGTTGTATAAGAGCTGTGGGGAAAATATTTAAGAATGGGCTCTTCAGTCTAGCAGAGAGAAGTATAACATGATCCAGTGGCTGGATGTTGAAGATAGGCAAACTCAGACTTGACATAAAGTGTAAATTTTTGACAGTGAAAATACTTAACCTTTGGAACAATTTTCCAAGGCTTATGATGGACTCTCCATCACTGACAATTTGAAAACCAAGATTGGGGCTTTTACTATTATATCTGCTCTAGGAATTATTTTGGGGACATTTTCCGGCTTGTGTTGTACAGGAGGTCAAGTTATATGATCACTGTGGTGCCTTCTGGCCTGAGAATCTATGAAACTGTGATTCTGCCTAGGTGAACTGCATGGTATGCTGCCACTATTCATAAAACAGCTACAATAAAATGGGTGCTGATAGTGACAGTTCATTGAAAGAAAAAGGAAAATGCAGTTCTTTCTTAGTTGACTCATTCCTAGCTCCTTTCTAGAGCTTCAGGGCATAGCCAAGTTAGTCTGTTACAGAAAAACAACAACAAATGGTCTGGTAGCACTTTATAGACTAACAAAATATGTAGATGGTATCATGAGCTTTCGTGGGCACAGCCCACTTCTTCAGATGAGTGGGCTGTGCCCACGAAACCTCATGATACCATCTACATGTTTTGCTAGTCTATAAAGTGCTACCAGACCATTTGTTGTTTGTTTCCTTCTTTCTGAACACTCAGATTGCCGTACACAAGACACTGGAACTTATTGGAACCTATGGTGAACAAATCAAAGAGCCTGCAATTCCTGAGGCAGGATTTCAAAGGAAACTGTCTGCTTGAAATGTAGCCAAATAAATAAATAAAATTAAAACCATTGCAGGTACCACACCTGTCCCAGAGTTCCCATTTTGTTTTTGTGATTTTTACAATTACGGTATCCTACAGGTAACAATATTTTCTCTTCCTTATTGCTGTCTCAGGGTACATCTACACAGCATGGCTAAATTAAGCTACCAACTTCAGCTATGTCCATTGCGTAGCTTAAGTCAAAATAGCTTAATTCGGCTTTTGGCACTGTCTACACAGGAAGTGGAAGGAAGTACACTCTTCCTTTGACATCCCTTACTCCTTGTGATATAAGGATTACCATGAGTCAGAGTAAGAAGTCCTCCAGCTTGATATTATTTTGAAATAAAGGTTTGTAGTGTAGACATGCAGTATGTTATTTCACAATTACATCAGTTATTCCGAAATAACTCTGCTGTGTAGATGTACCCTGAGAGACCCACAGTAGGGAGGCTGACTGTTAAACTGAACAGAGAAAACCATGAAAATTCCTATAAAACATATGCTATCAAATGCACAAAGTAAACACACAGGAAAAAATAATGAAAAATATTTGCCCCCTCATCTTGTTTTCAGTTACAGTAATCCAAAGTCTTGTAAAATCAGTTGACACAGAAGTGTAATTTTTAAAGTGATGGTGTCTCTTCAGTTTTCCCTGTTACCTTCATTGTGGCCAACAGCTTCTGTGGGCCCCTGGTCAAAGTGTGGGGAGGGGCTGACTCCAAGCTCTTGGAAGCAGCAGGGCATTGGATGGAAGGGATGGGGCCAGGACAGCCAGTTCTCAGCGCTGCCCAGACTGTGAGGCTGGGCCCTCCCCTTTAGCCCTCAGAACCATATGGAGCACCCAGCGCTGCACTCCAGCAGCAGTTTAAAGGGCTTAGGGCTCTAGCTGCTGCATAGAAACAGAGGTGGACGGGAGCCTCAGGCCCCTTTGAATTGCTAGGCCCTGTGGCAACTGCCCCCTTTCTCTTCCCCTCACCCTCTTGCTGGCAGGCCTGGTACATGATAACTAAGGCAGCATGTATCTTTTATCAAAGAGAACAATGAAAGTCAGAGGGACTATTGATATTCCAGTTGGAGCACTGATACATTTTGCAGGAGGCATTTTACCTGCTTGTTTCTTGCATTGAAGGTGTCTGCCTTTGGTTCTGTTTTAAGATTCTGATCTTGATTCTCTCCACAGATTGCAATCTCATATATTTGGACAATTTCCTTCCCTCTCTATCCTTGTCTCAAGTTAAATTTTGTTTCTCCTGATGGTGAAGTTAATTGTTCAGAGGGATCTTCCTCTTTAAAGTCAGTTGGTTTATAGTTACTCCAGACATCACTCATGGAGTTGAGGGTGTAGTTCCGTGGTCACCAACCAGTTGATCACGATCGATTGGTTGATCCTGAGGCCTCGACCAGTTGATCGCAAGGCATTGTGGGCCCCCTATTTCTCCCCACCCTCAAGAAGCCCCACTACCTACCTCGAGCAACAATGGAGGTAGTGGCAGCTTCCCGCGGGGTGGACGGAAGTCCTACAGCTGCACATCACTTCCGGGGGTTCCGGAAAGGCGCTAGCTGCTTCCTTGCCCCAGCTCC